CTCCTCCCTCAGGTCTCTCCACCTGAACACCCAGAATCAGGGTAATAACGGCCAGAAAAAACAAGACAAGTCTAATCCTGCTGCCTCTCTTTTCCCTTCACTCGATATTCTCTCTTCCTGCAGCTTTACTATCACTTTCCCTCAGTTCACTTGTTTCTTCTTGCCCCTGGTTTCACAGTACGTTTCACTCCAGGAAGGGTGGAAAGAGGCAAGCGTTTGTTTGGCTCGCGTCTGTTCGGCTGCAGCTTAGCTAGTTGGTTGGTTAGTCCAGCTGCTGGTCTGGTGGGTGAGTTAGCAGGTCAGATCTGCATTCAGTGAGGTTCATCATGTTGGCGTTGCAGCTGATCTGGAGACAGTCAGGAGGATTTAATGAGAAAAAAACAGAACAACATGGAGCTACCGGTAAGATCAATCAACAAGTTTCTGCTACTTCTGCTCCTTTAACTGATTTCCCCAGGCTTTACAACAGAAAACATCAACTTTTGTAGCAACTTTCACATATTATTATTATTATTATAAATGCTGTTTACCTGTAAATTAAGCCTACAACTCCCCTAGTGGCAGTAGTAGGAAATACAGTCTGGATTTAATGGCAGTTGAAGACCGCCATAATTGCTTTACTCTTGAGGTAATGTATTTGTGTGTGCCACCACACACAAATACACAGGTTGATGTAAAAAAAAAAAGGCTCCTATTTGAAACCTAAAGTAAGCTCAAATTTTTTTCAGATTTTTTGCAGTTTTTTAAGTCACCTCCCTTTGCTCTAAGTACTTGAGAAAGGGTAGTCCATCTAAACCACCTTTGGGCCTGTATGTTTAAAATATCTGCCTATGCCTCATATACCTGTGCGTGTGTGTGGATGTTGATCTGTGTGTGTGTGTGTGTGTGTGCATGTTGATGTGTGTGTGTGTGTGCATGTTGATGTGTGTGTGTGTGTGTGCATGTTGATGTGTGTGTGTGTGTGTGTGTGTGTGTGTGTGGGTGTTGATGTGTGTGCGCGTGCGTGTGTGTGTGTGTGTGTCTATGTGAGTGTGTGTGAGTGTG